CTAACCTAAGCCCCGCAGGCCTCATCCCCTCCGCATCTCCCTGCTCTCCAACTCTGTGGCAGAAGAGTTCAACTTTTTTTTGCTGCAGGAGGGGACACAGCCTGCACCGATGAGGACAATGGCCTTGCAGGCAGCACTCCCAAACCCCACAGCTAAACAGATGGTTCAGCATCACAGCGTGATTTGGCACTGGCCAAGCCAGCCCTATAGGAATGGGGACTTCCCAGGTGCACAGAAACCTTTGGCAAGCTGATCATTCAAATAGTGAGCAGCAAATTAAGAACAACAAAATTAGCCGTCCAGTAAACTAAATTGAATCTACAGCAGTGGTGGTTTTGAGAGCTGACCCCTGGTACTGCTGAAATGTCTGAGGCAGGGAGCTACATCTTGCCTCCAAGTCCAAAGAAAACGGATGCCAGTAAGGCAGCACCCCATTGCCTCCCTCCCCTTTTATCCTGCCCACAGAACAATGAATTACGAACCAGTCAACTGAATTACATCCTTGAATAGTCCTTGTAATACACTGCTTTTAATGTATCAGATCTTGCATTGCTGCTATCCCTTTTCCCCACTGTTGTGACTTTAAAGTTGTTCTGATATGCAATAACGAATTTATGGGGAAGCTTTGACTGTTGGTGTGCCACACTCTGCACATCTCTTCCCTCTTCTCCAAACAGCCTTCCCAACAGAAGAAAATACAGTGGCAATGAAAGTATCTCGGTCACCCTCAGATTATTTTTTTTTTAATCTGTTTTTTAATAAAGCTTTGGCTTGTTTACTTTTCGGTAGTTTTGGGGTTTGTTTTTTTTTGTTCTTTAACTTATGTTTTTCTAGATAAAAATAACAATTTAGGGATTTGGTATTTATTGTTTTGGTTTTTTGGTTTGTTTTTTTTTAATAAGCAGTCAGGAAAGATCAAGGGTGAAAGGATCTTCTTTCACTCCGTCCTGCAAGCTCCTGCTTGCTGAGGTTCTCCAGCATTTGGATCCTCAACTACTGCACTGGAGACCTCCAGTCTGGAACTCTTTGCCCATTTTCCTTTAGCCAGTCCCTTGTGCCAGTGGCAAGGGTTTTCTCAAGGAACACATTTTTACCAGGTTTCCTACCAAATCTGTTCCCCCTTCACAGCACAAAGCTTTTACTGTCACTAGAGGTGCCTGGGCTGTGAGAGGCCCTTGAACACAGAGTGCAGACTAAGCATAAGGCCGGGTAAGGAAGGGGCTGACATCTGGAGGAGATTAAAAAGTATGCAATGAGATAAAAGTTACTTTGGCATTCCCCTTTCAGATAGACATGATCCATCACGTTTATAGCACCTTCAGTATGCACCTGCAATGTGATAGTATCAATGAGAGAGGGGAAAACATTAATTAAACTTTTGGTGGTTTTATATCTTGCTTTACATCACCTTTACAGAGTGGATGCAGTGTTGGGACAAAGCAGACGTTCTATTTCCCTTGCCGCTCTCCCCAGCAGGCCATCCATAGCATGTACAGGACTAGGTCTTTTAGAATTATTTAAAATTAAAAAAAAAAAACAAAAAAAACCCAACAAAGAACTAACTACAAAACTCTCACTTGACAAGCTACCCACTTGATAAATCTGAGACATGCTCTGGATAAGCCCTCAATGACAGTCCAAGGCAGTGGAGGTTCCTTCTAGAGAAACTCCTAAGTTTACCTATAGGTAGACAACATTAACCACATCCCTCCTGCTCCTTGGCTCTCTCCCTCTCCAACTACTGCTAAGGTGACATTTTATCTGGGATCCCCAACCAAAAGCCAGCACATTTCACCAAACACAAGGAAACAAATCATAACAATACTTTATTTATGGTATTACCTACATTTCAGCCTCAAACTCCTTTACACTGATCTGCTAATCCTGTATAATATTGACTTCCCAAAGAAGGAAGATTATGCTAATCAGGATTTCTGAAGGACTTACACATGATCCTATATTTACTTTTTAACTTCATCAGGGTGACAAAAAGAATATGCCAGCATCAAGCTGGTGCTACATTTTCTTTGGATTACAAGTCAAACACCACCACTGTCTGAACCTACCACCAAAATGTCTCTCTAGTAGGCAAACCCAGATAATCCTTTCCTCACAGATGAAAGGGTAACTGCAATCATCTACTGGGAGCTTCTGAAAAGCACAAATTGGAGTACCTCCACCCAGTAATTCTTCTATCACACCCATAGTTTAAAGATCTTTTAATTTTCCAAATTAAATGTATGAACTAGGTCTGAGAAAGGATGTTCACATCTTCAAGAAGCCTCTGAATAAAATCACTAAATTCAAGAAGTACTAAATATATTAACTTGAGGTAAGACCCACAAAATGCAAAGAAATGAAGCATCTCAAAGCTATCCCAAAAAGCAGTAGAAGAGCACATATAAGATGTGAAACAGGAAGAATCTAATTTTATTTTAAATTGACTAACAATTTCATGTGATGAATTGTACTGTATTTATTTCAGCATATGATGTGCTGTGTTACATTTAATGGAAGGCCCCTACTTTTATTTTAAGCTAGGGCTTTAAACTGAATTACCACATACAATGTGCAGAGAAGGGTTTTGGGTCAGTGGCTTAAAATCTATACAAGGGAGATTGCAAGTTTGCAACAGTCCTTGAGTTTCCATATGTCAATGTAACAGGGAACATGGTGCCACAGCATTACCCAGATGGAGAGTGTTCTGTTTTAGCCAGCTGAAGTGTCAGTGTGTTTATGGAATCCCTGGGAAAACACAAGTGAAGTTTGTACCCCTGGTAAAAACCCGCAGCAGCCAATCCTCCCCTTCTCCAAGGCTGCCCAGCAAATCTTTGCCCATTCCCTTTCAGAAATCAGCAGCCTTCCCAGTTTGGATGCCATCTCACTGCCCAGCAGATGTGTATCAGAACCACATGGGAACTGCCTGGCTTCCAAGCAAGCCAGCAGCCTGCAGAAAAGGCAAGAGCATGCGTGTCCTGGACCTTAGGCACCTCAACAAAAGCTGTAGGTCGCCAAGTACTTTGTGAGCAGTTTCAGGTTCATGTGATCAGATTCCACAACACCCACAGACTCACTAGAAAAAGACTGCAGATGCAAAAAGATATTATTGTGTGGGCCTAATCTACTGGAGAAAAGGAATAACTGCAGCTCATGTGTAAGCTGACCCTGTGCAAGTCAGTTAATTTCCAAAAAAGACTAAAAGGAAAAAAAATTATCAAAGGAAAATGGGATTTATTTCTAAATTTAAAGGAAGGATCCATTCAAGGGGTTGTTTTGCTACTGATTTGAATTCCAGTTGTGCAGAACAGACTTCAGAATAAAAGTGCAAAAGATACCCTGCACCATACTCACGTGGTCATCCTGGGGCAAATCCACATCACCTCATTCCAGGGATATACTTCATCCACAGATCGACTTCTGCAGATCAGCACAATCCACTCTCCCAAAAGGACCCAAACTACACAGACAGTACAAGATTTCAGAGAGCCATGGGGAGAAACAGCCAATGCAGAATACCTGTTCTAGGCTATTTCTATGTCACACAGCCCCAAGACTTTATGTGTTTTTCTTCTTCAAATTTAGCCTGTTCATCGCCAGGAAAAAACATCTGCTTCAAATAACTCTACCCCCACTATATAGAAAGCTTTGGTTTCTGTAGCTTTTGTGGATTCTGAAATATAAATAAAAAGTAAAATACTACATTTCTTGACAAAAGGAGGAAAACATTAAAACATAATACAAGCTTGTTACGGGTCTCTTCCCGCTTGCTCAGTCTAGTGAGCTCAGCACCACAAGGAATTCCTTCAGAAGTGGAAATTACTTACAAGTACTATTTTTTAACCTATCCAGTGACTCCAACACAGACATAAAGCTGCTGACATGTTTCTTTAAAGAACTACAAAACAGGAAAGGTCTATGGCTTCAAATTCTGAATTTGCCATTGCTAATTTTAAACCAAACAGCCTTGTTAAAGATTATTACATAAACCCAACTGCTTATCCCCCTGCATGTTAGTTACTTTTGACCTAACTAGGTTTAAAGCACATTTCTTGGCCCCACTTTCTGATGCCAGCCTGAAGAGAAGCAAATACCCAAGAAGAAAGGATTAAAGGAGGTATGGGAATACTTGAGAGCAGAGACGAGCAGGATACAAATTTGCTGCTTCTCTGTACCATATTATTGTTTCAGTTTATTCTGAGACAGGCAAATCAGGTGAGCGATGTTTGATCACACAAGCACATGGGCTCTGTCTACAAGCCAACTTCATAATAACTGCAGTGCTGTTGAGTCCTGCTATAGATAGGTTTAAAGAAAGCTCCCACTTGCCTGCATGTTCTGCCCACAACTCTCAAGAGGCACTAGACAGAGAAGCAAAGGCTCACAGCACCACAGGTTTATTTACAACAGACTACACACAGGCAAAGCAGCGAGCAACAGCAAATTAAAACCAAGGATAAGCTCCCTTCCACAAACTGGCAACTATCCTCTCATGAGCAGGCAAGGAGATAACTAAAGGGAAAACAGAGAGGAGAATTTCAGAAATTGAGGTGATTTTTTTTTTTTACTACACAACTACTTTGGCAACCCAAAAATGAACATAGCAGACCCTGTAGCTGCTTCTACATTCTTTCTTTCCTCCAGTATCAAAAGAATCAGCCACAGCCAGAATCATTCAGCATTGGTTTAGGTTTATGAGCACTCAGATGCACTAATGTATTTTGACACAAACTCATATTTTGTGGAATCATATTTTTTTCCTTTACATGCATCTTGTACTCAAGGAAGTATTACATTACCATGCACCTGCAACCAGTGTAGCGGAGGGGGAAGCGTCACTGATCAAAGTCCATTAATTTATTTTACCTGCAGATTTATTGCAAAACCTGTGAATCATTGAAAAAGTATGTCCACTAGATAGCTGCAACATCAGGATCTCAATATTCCTTGAGCCAGGCCAAGCCAGAACTAAACCACACAGAAATCCTAAGAAACACGTGCAGTAGCTTAATTAGCCATTGTAAAAGGACACATTTGGGGTTGATTGTTTTGCTTTGTTTTCACTCTCCCATGTGCATTATAGATGCATTGCAGAAAGTGCAGAACTGAGTAGACTGTGGTATGCCAAGACATAATGCCAGTGGGGAGCAGAAACATCTGATCCAACTTATGAAAGGACAAAAATCCACAACAGTGGTTGGCCAAAACTAGCTGCTCCCTGAAAACAGGTACCTGTGTACTGGTGTCTGGCAAAGCTATCTTTGCGCTCAGCAAATCTCTAGAGCACGTGCCTGGCAGTGCTGAAATTACTTGACCTCTCATTTTCACTTCTGTCCAACATTATGCAATCTTTTTGCTACTGCAGTAATGAGGGCAGCTCCCTTCCCACTTCCATCTTCAGAAAGCATGAAAGTCACATCACACTGAGGTGCCAATTGCTTCACTGTTTCCTGCAGGACCCTAGAAAAACTGAAAGGAAAAGGAGAGAACAGAACATTTTAGAAGCTGCTTTCTGGTCTGAGATCTTTATATATTATCAAGTAACCATAACTTCAGCCAACATTTATTGGTTCTCCACAGCATCCCTTTTTGTTTGTTTTTCCTCCTGTTCATGATAGATAAAAGATTCTGTACAGAATCAAAACTTAATTTCTCTTTCTTCACTTTAATTTTGTTCAGTATGATGCCAGACACCTCCCTTGCCTTTAGAGATCATGGAAGAGGCCCTCTTCTGCCAACTGAAAAGCTATTGCACCTACTTCTAGGCCTTGCTTACAAAATACTTACTCCACTCCAAAAACTCAACACAGACTTTCATCTGGGACACCCAGATATTGCAGAAGTGCCCCAAAACTTTGGAAAAAAAATATATTGGAAGAGTAAGCTCACTCAACACCCCAGAGAAGTCTCACAGTGGTAGCTAGACTTGACTTTTTGGGTATTGATCCTTTGGCTAGGCAAGAGAAATGCAGGGAAATATGTTAGATCTTTATTCCCTCTCATTTTTTCCCACCTTGGCAGAAGTCTGGTACAGATCAGTATGTTTTAACAGTGGAAATGATCAAACAGCAAAGGGAAGTGGTATGGTACCAAGGTACTCACTGGGGATGGAGCTTGTACAAAGTCCCATCCACTCCAACGGTGATTTGCAAGCGCTCCACACCTCGGTTTTCTCTCTTCTTCTCTACAATAGCAGCCAGTCCTGCCCCACAGAGCTGGGCAGCTCTTTTTGAAACAGCTCCACACACCTCTTTCACAATGATGCTGTCTTCACATGTGCTGTCCAGGCCCAACTGCTGCAGAATTCGCCGGACTTGGAGGAGGGCGAGCCGGTCACTGCACAGAGGGAAATGCATGCAGCAGCAAGGCATTAGGAAAAGCTTCAGCAGCATGCAAATGGAAGTCTTACAGCTAAGATTCAAAGGAAATGGGACTACTTCTCCAGCTCTTAACACCCTCCAATTGTTTCCAGGTAGATTCCAACCTGAATTCAGAATGAAGACTTGCTCCAGCATTGCCCTTTGTTATGTTAGACTGTATTTCCAGAAGGCACAAACAGTAGTTATTTACCTAACTCCCAAAGTCATGAGGGAGCTAAGTCATGTCAGCCACCTGATTGCATTATTTTTGATCTCAAGGCTGGAACACTACCTTTCAAGGTTTTCAACAGTAGAAAGGGTTTCAAATAGCCTGGAAGACCATTGCAATCATGCACAAATATGTAGATAAGCACATATTCAGGGAGTATTCATATATCACTGACTTTTTATTTTTTTAAATAAGCACTATTTTAAGTCCTACAAGAAACAGGCCAAGTATAATCATGCTTGATGGTTAAGGCATCCAAGATAACACAGCTGCATGGACAGAAAATGATAATTCACAGAATTACAGATTAATTCTGGAACTCCCACAGTTCTCCTTTTTGGCTTTTATTCAGCGGATGGGAGAGGAGGAGGGAGGTACACAAAGAAAACAGCTACAATTGACTTCTTGAGGGAAAGAAGACTTGTAGAAAACTATTTTCTAGAGGTCCCAGACCACCTTAGGGATTTAAATAACATAAATCTAACAACTTTACCTCTCAATCTGAGACAGGAATTTTGTTTCAAATATGCCTCTTTTCCTGAGTGATTCCGAAATCTGTCCTCTGAACAGCAGTCCTTGTTTGGTTAAGTCGATCAAAATTTGCCTTACTATTTCACCTAGGTACATTCCACTGGTCATTTTTTCATACCTGTTAGGTTATTAAAAAAAAAAAAATGTTTTTAAAGAGACGTACATGCATGTTAGCTCTGTTTAACACGAGTGGTATGTTCATGCCCTATCAACTCTAAAAAGGCAGTAAAAGCTTGCAGAGCAATACCCATTGAACTCCATCTTTCAACCATTAAAATCATGTTGCAGTGACTTCAAGTACAAATATTAATTATAACATATTTACCTATGTTAAAAGGTAGCAGAACTAGAAAATAAAAACTTGCATTATTAAACAGACTGTAGTGTTAAAGCCAGAGTGCATACCGAAGCAAAACATTTCTCTGTCCCCCTCATGCATTCACCAATAAGTCATATGTAATTGATGCTGTCTTTACCAAATGAAGAATGGTCAGGTTCAGTTTATCCTCTTGCACAAACTGTATTTTTACCTTTGAAAAAACACTCTAAGAGGAGCAACACAGCAAAGACTACACTTTGTGGGGAAATCTTAAGAGCAGTACCATTCGGTAACTGCCCTAAGGTGAAATCAGTGCTGTGGTAACAGAAACAGATGTACACCTTTGGGTTTTTTGTCCTGGATATCTGCATTACTTACCATGCAACAAATTAAATGTAATATTAAAATTTCCTTTCTTATTATTCACTCATTAAGCACATTTTTAAAAGTAGCCAGTGTGTCTCAAAGACTGACTTCATCAGGCTCTTGACATCAGAACCATCACATTTACCTCTGTTTCCCTGGGTTTAGCGAGCCTTCATCTACTTCTTTATCATATTTTGTTCTGATGTTGTCAATGCAGCCGTTGTCACCAAATGCTCCCCATTCTGTATTAATGCACATTTTTCCTTCATTCCCTTCCACTATTTCTATGTTTTTCATGTCCTCCATGTAGCACACATTACTGCCTGTTCCTAGAATGAAAGAAATGACAAGGCTTCAGCCAGAAAAATGAAGTAGCAGCTGAAACACATGGAAGGTGTCAGTAACTGCTGCCAGTCTGGCTGTAGTGTACCACACATCATCTTGCATGACAGTGTGCTCTCAAAAGTTAACACTGCCAAGAGCCAGTCAAGCAGCTATGAAGTCTGAAATGAGTTGGTGAGTAGGATCTTACCACTTGCAACATCGGTTACAACAACTAATACAAGAACCAGTTCTCCAAACAAAATGCGATAGCTGGTGTACTTGGGACACCTGAAAGAGTCTGTTTTCCAAATGGGGCTTCGGATCTGTTCAGGTTAGGTATAAGGAAGAAGTTCTTTACTGCGAGGGTGGTGAGGCACTAGAACAGGTTGCTGAAAGAAGTGGTAAGTGCTCCATCGCTCCATCCCTGGCAGCTTTCAAGGCCAGGTTGGACAGATCCTTGGATGACATAGTCTTGTGTGAGGTGTCGGGGTTAGAACTAGATGATCTTAAGGTCCTTTCCAACCCTAACCATTCTGTGAGTCTAGGACCTTACACGATTAGATGTAATTCTGGCTGAAAACTTGGAGGTACCTATTGGGGGAATGAATCATCTAGATGACCCAAAAATAATTAATTCAGATTTTAAAATATACTTGTTTGTTCCAAGGCCTATGACCTTGCTAAGCAGTAAATTTGTCCAAACAAGGATTCATGTTCTTCGTGCTGTTCTCATATTCTTTTACCATGCACACACAATGCACCATTAGACATATGATCCGAAGTCCAACAGATTCAGTATCCTATCTGCTACAGGTGTTATTATGCCCTCTGTTGAATACCATACAAATCTGCCAAGAACCCCGAGTGATTAGCAACACCATACATCAAACTCAAATAAAAGATGCTGTTTTACAAATTCTAAAATAGGGTGTGAGGCCTAGCACCTACATGCATGCTTATTTCTACAGTGGTCACTTCAATATGATTGTACCTGCAATAAGGCCAATCTCACAGTTTGGATCCTCATATCCACACGTCATCATTGTCCCAACAGTGTCATTCACCACTGCTACAATGTCCAAATCAAACTCCTAAAACACAAGTCACAATCAGTAGTGGTGTCCCAGAGGAAGAGGGAGTCTGCATTAAATACACCAAAGAGAACAGAAAATAATAGCCCACATTTCTTCTCCTGATGGCCTCTCTCAGCATATCAACAACATCTTCTCCCTCACAGTCTGTTGCCTTGAAACCTTTTGTCCATCCCACAAGTGTTCCCTGAAACAGAAGAGGAAGAAAACAGTAAGTGAAGATAGAGAGAAGACTGTACCTTCCAAGCATCAACCTGTTTTTATCTCCACACACACTCCACAGATTTTTTTTAAATGTATTTCTCTGGACAGGTTACTCTGAGTGTCTCATGCAGAGTGTGTGCAAGTGTACCTTTGTTACTCAACTGCTGATGGTAGTGACTCCCGGTTTACTCAGCTATTTATCAAGACACTGCCAACTCAGTCCCTTCTAATACTCTCATTTGGAAAACCTTCTGTGCATGAAGACACTGCATTATCTAAATAATGGGAAAGACTAAAAAATAATTTTGCTTTAAATAATTAGACACCCAACAAACATTAATGAACATCCTCTGTTAATTTTTGGCTAGTTTACTGAAGGACACTTGGTATGATCCCAGTACTCCAGCCAACACTAATTTGGGGTTTTTTTGGGACAATGATGTGGCCTGACAGAAGCAGATTTCCAGATTACATGAAGTAATTAATCTTCCACTCGGTGATTGGCTCTGGACTGTTTGTCGCAACCGAGAGAAAAAGCTGCTCTTAAAAAACCCCTCAAGTTCTAGCAACAGTAAAAGACCAAACACACAGGGTGACATACTGTGGGACCCTGACACAGATGTATTTCACTCAGTTTACCACGACTGCTTTGGAATTTGTTTTCTCATAATTCGTCAAGACCTAAATACTATGCTTGGAAATACTAGGTTTAGAAGGCATATTGAGCTGTCTCCCCACTTTTTTGCTAAACTCTCAACTGTGATCTGGAATTTGATACAGAAGAGACTAGAAGCTAAGACTTAGATGTTATTGTGAAACCCAACAGGACATAATAATATTCAATAAATTAGGAGCCTATCATTTCCCCAATATTCTACATATTTCACTAGAATTAAGGAACACAACCTTCCCCACCCCTCTTTGGAGAAGCATCAGAATATCTGATAATTATTTTTTCCTAGCTTTTCTTTTTTTCTTACATTAGATCTGGACAGATGGAGATATCTGTCAAAAAGCCAACTCTCCCAAGCTGAAAAGCAAGCTCAGTTCTGCCCACTGACAACAAAAAGAAACTAATACGGTGCAGAAGTTATATAGTCAGGATTGTGCAGCACAGTTAGGGAAACACTCTGGGATTGCAGCTGAGCAAGTAGAAGGAGACATCTGTTATCTCTTGCCATTGAAGAGTTAAGACAGCATTTGAGATTCTTGAGCTACCAGAAATATGTAGTTATTTCACAGTCATAAGAGCTTAAATTTTATAGAACAAAAGCAAGTAACATCCATCTATTAGCAGATTAAAGAAGGTGAAATTCTATCTCTCATATTTCTATAGGATGATCACTTTCTCATGAAACACAATTAATTTGCCTGGTAAAGTAATAAAATCCCCACAAAACAGGTGAAATATTATTTCCAAAGACAAATTGGCTTTTCCCTCCCCTCCTAACCTTGTAAAGCCCTGTTTGAAAGAAAGCATGTAGAAGAATAGCTTTTTGGTGCAGTTTCCAAACCAACAAGTCACCCTCATCCAAAATGATGCCATTTACCAAAAAGATTCACAGCTGCCACTTGATCCATTCTGTGTTGCAGTTCTCACCTTGTCAATGCTGGCTTGCCTGCACGGGAAGGAGAAGGTGAAGCCCAGAGGCAGACGAGCACCTTTAATCCCCATATACTCCAGAAAGTCTGCTATGCACTGGACAATATGGTCAAAGAGCTGGAAGGAAAAAAAAAAGTATATAAATCTCGTAGTAATCCTATGTAACAGGCCTTGGCTGGATCAGTTAAAAGTTCATTAGAGGTTACCTCTTCTCCTGTCCCTTGCATGATCTCCAAAGGAATGGCAAAGATTTTGTTATACATTTGCACTGATCTTCTTCTTCCACTTCTAATTTTGACCAGCAGAACTCTGAAATTTGTCCCACCAAGATCAAGGGCAAGGAACTTTCCTTTCTCTGTAAGAAAAGGAAGGTATTTCATTTTGGTGTTTCTGGTAGCCTGTTTGCCAGTCAGAATGGTATACCATGCCATACATCCCCAAGAAACTTCATTTGTGCCAGTGACAGCACACTGCTCCCTATAGCATTTATCCCACCAGCCTGCTAGCACGTGCCTGAAGGGTCAGCCAGGTAACATCTTGGGAAGCACCGGTTTGCCAACATAAATCACCCTGGCGTTTTCCAGAACAATTGGCATATCCCCCCCCCCCGAGAAGACAGACAAGCAGCTTTCCTGAACAACCAACATGTAACCAGAAAATGACTCCACCTGTTCCATCTGGTGTCCCACAGACATATGTGGGTAACATCTTCACTGTGGCACTGGCTTGCGTCTCTCGCTTTAGCCCATATTCCAGCTCAGTCCTCATTTTGTTCTTAACTTCTCTGAGGGTCTCCAGGGACAGCAGAAATGGTGCAAGTGCAGCATCAATCCGCTTACGCTGAGCAGCCAGCCTGTAAGCCACTGCTGTGACCAAGGCAGCCCCCTTCCCACTGCCACTCACAGAGAGGAGGAACCGAACATCGCAGTTTGGGACCAGCCTTCTCACCACTTTGTGCAGACGTTTGGCATATCTACAGGAACAAAGAGTTTCTTTAAATTCTCACAGGCATTTCATGCTTGGTTTACTTCACATACATTTCCAGTACACGCATACATGAAACAGTACAAGTGCTGAAGCACAGTCAAGAGGAGCATGTAAGGTCAGAAACTGGTCTAGGAGATGGATAAAACGACCCTGATTTTTGGCTGTTCTGCAGAACCTGTACACTTACAGGAATATGAATATACCTCTTAAACATGTGCCAGTGCCAAGAGAGGACACTGGAGAAAAACCAGGCAACAACAGTCACAATCACAGAGGGCGAGAGCCTCCATCTGGAATCAGACTTCCATGCAGCTGATGGAACGCAGTGAAGTGCAAGTGCCCTGGAGACCAGGAGTCACTTGAGGAATCAATTGCTCTTCCCCAGACACCGTTATCCCATGTATTATGGTGTTGCCACCTCACACCAAGTTCTAAAGCTCTTAGGGCAGCCTTGCCATAACTAAGCCGCTCTGATCCTCTGCACTGCACCAGATCTTACCCCAGCCATGCAGCAAAACCAGCAGATCCCTGAAAAGCCACACATATATGCAGATGGTAAGTCTTTGCAACAGGAGCATGTGGCCAGCAATTACCAAATCCCCTTTAATTACTTACTGGGGGTGGGTTTTATAGAGTCCCCCATCAATCCCAACAGTGGTTCGCATCCTCAACACTTTTTTATTCTCCCTTAGTCGTGTCAATATGGCTGCCAGGGCGGCAGCACAGAGGTTGGCGGATCGGAAGGAAACAATGGTGCAGACATGCTGAACAGCAATGCAGTCCTCTTCAGAGGGAAACAGGTTCAGCTCTGTAAGGATCTCTTTTGTGTTGTTCAGTCCTTCTTTATATCTGCCCCAAAACAAAAGAACACATCATCTAATGCAAGGATATTAAGGCAACACATAAATAATATGTGCATGTTGGCTCAAAAAGAAATGAGAGAAGACCAGGGCACAACCTATCAGCTAGCATCACAATTGGTTCCCATAAACCAGTAATGTCTTTCCTGCACTATTCTCTAGAGTACCTGTGGGACAGACCAGACTTTTAAGAGGCTGCTTCCTGAAGGTTCAGTTTTTGGTGAGATTTACCAATTAGCTAGCAAAGAAGAGAGCAGGATAAAATATTTAGTCTGTAGAAGGAAAGCACAGGAATAGATGTACAGCCTCACTCAATACAACAATTATTCCTGGAGTAACGATAAGGATTAAGATTCCTCTTCAAAACACTAGAATCTATCAGTTTTCCATGTGGTCATCCATTAGCTGATCCAGAGTTTGTACTACATCTCCCCAGCCCCAGTGTTCCCACACCACAGAAACTGAGAACTGCAACAATCATCCCATGTACTCAGGCCTCCAAAGAGGTTATTTAGACAACCTGCATCTGTGATGGTTAACAACACATTTTCTACTGTGGTACTTCGCTAAAAATTGACCTGCCACCAATTCCTATTTCCTACTTCCTAGGCAAAAGCAAAATCAAGTTAAAAAGTTCAGGACTGTTCCCAGTATCCATGGATTATAATTACATGTTCACTATCATTGCTGTGCTTGTGAAAGAGTAACAGCCACTCTCAAACACCATATTGCAGGTTCTTACTTTTCCATTGCAGACACATGCTTCATTTCAATCTTGCCCTTAGTAAGTAGAGCCGTTGACACCTTCCCATTGAAAAGCAGACCCTCTTTTGTCATCTTTAGGAGAATGAGTCTTACAAGCTCCCCCAAATACAGGCTGCTGATCATCTTCTCAAACCTGGAATGGGGCACAGGAAGGATTACACACAAAGGATTACCTGCTAGCCAAAGGTATGAAAATTCAAGCATGAACATCTTACATTCTTATGCAGGTTGATCACATTTAAGCATGCACAAAAGGAGTTTGGGAGCTAAGCTGTGGATGGGGTGCATTCTGAGGTACTGGGACACAGCTGCTCAAGATAAATGAGGAATTAAAGAGAATTTTCAAAAGACTTGAGAGCAGCTCAGCCAGTAGAAGCAATTTTGATGACCCATGCTTTAAATATGCCATTTGTTTACCTTCTTCCTGTCTTTACTCCTCCACAGCATCATACCAGAGCAACCTCCTATTTTTAACAACAAATTAGCAACTGCAGCAGCAATCCCTTGGCCTGTGAGGATGGGAAGTGTAAAAGGTACTCATTCTTCCCACTTCAGAAGGGCAGGGCTGTATCGGCCAGAATCAGCATCAAGTCAAATTGGGTTCACTTAACCTAATTCGTGTTCCAAAAGAGCTCCTGGAAACTCACTCACAGAACTCAAGACTGCTCAGGCAAACCAGCCAGGGAATCACTTACAATTGTTTGCCAGGATTGAGAGATCCCAGATCAAGCTCCCGATCAAACTCTGTGCGGAGGTCATCCAAAGCACCATCATCTCCAAAGGCACCCCACTCTGTGTTAATGCACATTCTCCCTTCATCACCTTCCACCAGATCGATGTGCCTCATTTCCTCCATGTAGCATGCATTAGTGCCAGTTCCTGTGAATATTGGAGACAGTGCAGGTAAGTTACCTCTTTGTTCCAGGTTTGCTTTTTGTTTAAGTACACATATTTGAAAATAAGTTAGCATATTGTCTTTGAAAGCAAATATAAATACCTAACCCTGTGGTTAAATAATCATTTCACAGTGAATGAAAAACTCTAGAAATTAATCTAAGGCTTGGATTGTTTAAAAATATTTTATTTTTCAAATGTATTTCTATGTGTCTTAAAAAGCCACCACAGTGCACAAAGTGGAGATATTGTGGAAAACATAGCTGATCCTAACTAACAGACGTGAGAGGAATTCAGCTTTCTCTAGACAGACAAACACTAATTTTCTATACAGTCAGCAGAAAAGTTTAGTATGCTGGTCACAACTGAACCCAGACAAAATGGGGACTGTGGCATTTGATGGCAATGTGATCAGCATAAAACCAGCTGCTTTACAGAAGGCAGCCAGGCTTGAAAATCTTTGAAAATAATTGTTTTTTCCTTTTCTTCCCGCTCTTTCCTGTACCAGGACATTCCCTTTGACTACAGATATATTTTTTTTTAATTAAGGAGGAGAAAAAGACTACTTAGTGATCAGAAAAAATTACCAATTATGAGTCCAACTTCACAGTGCTGGTCATCATATCCACAAGTCATCATGGTTCCCACAGTGTCATTGACTAGTGCCAAAACATCAACGTCTATGTCCTAATAGCAGAAAGATGGGCAAGTAACACAAAGAAAATCTTAGAAAGCCTCCTGTGTGTTGAAGCAACAACATGCAGACATACTCCATCGGTCATACTCTGAAGGCTTTGTTCAGGAAAGCTCTTCAGTTGAAAGACATACTATTTTCTTTTATAACACTATCCCCACAACTCTGTGAAGTAACAGATATTTCTGAATTCTCAAGTGCTTGGCCAGCCAGGATCTTTGCTCGCAGGATTTGTTTTTACCCAATCCAATCCCGTTTGCCAGAAATGCAATGCGTTGTTGGTTTGAATTCTGTGATATTCTAGCACCCATATATATGTCCTAAGAACTGCACAATAGGATAATGTTCTGCTACCTGAGCAGATTCTACCAAATGGGATAGAAAATATACATACATAAATGCAGTTATTTAACACAAAGCCAGGCACCAATACCACACTCAAGTAAAAAGCCTTTCCATCAAAGCTGTGTGATTTTCCTTTCACACTGCAGTAACTTGGTAAAGCAAAATCAAAGTTAACACAGGATTCTTGTAACTCAGGTGCCAACATTAGCAAGGGGGCAGACTTCACCCAGCTACTCTCAGATCCTTTGATCCTGCTAATTACAGCAAGACTGATGCAAAGAAGTGAACTAAAAACCAAAATCAAGGATGCATTTTTATCATGCGAGAAAAAAGAATTTCCTCTTTTTTTACAAAGATGTCAAGGTATGGAAAGATGCTTTGTATTTCTTAGATGGTGTTACCAATAGCACTGAGCTTTCCAATAAGACTTTCAAAAATACTAAAACATAATGTTATTCAAAGGTATACACTGGTTCAAGGGCAGATTTAATCATGCTTACTGCTGTCTTACAATCACTCACTCCATCCTACAGACTGGAATGGCCAGGCAAGCACTGATAGAGTTGTATGTGCCGGTTTTAAATGAGAGCTTTCTACTCCCAGCCTTCATCCCATAAGCCAGGGTATAAAACACAGTGTGTATCCACATCTTACCAAACTGTTTCACAACAGATTCCCTTTTGATCAGTCAGACGGGGCCATACTGGTCCACTGTCACAGCCAGCCCAGTTTATCAGTGTGTAGTTGCCATCACTGTTAGACTGACCAGGCCAGCCTGAGTTACAATCCCTTACACAGCTTCCCCTCCAAGGCAGAGACAGATCTGCTAGATATAAAGCCATGTTCGGAATTTGCAACTGGCAGTCCTTGAAGAATGTCTGACAACTCCAAAAACAACCCACACACCAAGAGTTGATCTCCCAGGAAGACAATCTGTGGCCAGTCAAGTTCACCTACTGCAGGTACAAAACTTGCCTTATGCTTCTGGAGGGCCTTGCGCAGAGAGCTGACCACATCTGTGTCCTGAACTCCTCTGACCTTGAAGTGTTTCGTCCAGGCAAGAAGAACCCCCTGCAAAGTAACAGTCCAGTGACCCAAAAGCTGCAACTTTAGCACACAGATCTGTCATAAAGTCAGAACATCTCACCTTGGGGTGCCTGTCAGTACGAACAGAATTAACAGGTACAGAAATAAAGTCCCAACCCTGCAAATGCTTCTCCCTGTACTTTGTTTACTGATGCTCATCACAAATTAATAGCATTAAGCACAAAGCATTTGCAGGGCTGGGACCCAAAGCACAAATCCCTGGAAATAAAAGAGAGGCTGGAATAAGAGACCAAAAAATAACTGCAACCAGCCCTTCATTTCCCCATGCAGCCTCTCAAACAGCTCAGCTAGAGGTCTTTCCTAGTTACAATCAGCTGTAAAAAAGAAACTGAATGGCAGCAATATAAAGAAAGAATCATGCTTCAGGATACAAAAGTATGTGTTCTACAGTCTTTGTATGAAGGCACATGGTTAGTATGAGTTGCGTACTGATTAAGTAAAAGAACAGCTTTAGGTTAAAGGTCGCATTGCCTTGAGACTGAAAATGAGTTTCTAAATGGTAGTCAAGTCTAGTTATATGCTAATGGTCATCCATGCTTTCTCCATAGAGCTATGTAAACATGACCCCACAAAAAAGGCCATAGGGTAACACTTCCATGCAATAGCATCTCCAAGTTCTGCAAGGAGCTAGGCTTGCCAGTAGTATTTATTTCTGTATCTTACCTCTTCCAATTTGGTCTGTTTGCATGGAAAAGAAAATGTAAAACCAAGAGGTAACTTCTTATGCTTCAGGTTTTTGGTCTCCATGAAGTCTAACAGACAGTCAGCAATGTAATCAAAGAGCTGCACAAGAAAGGAGAAGACAGGCTCACATTGTGTTCAGCAGTCATGCATTCAAGCATAGCACCAGCACAGAATACCCTGTGTGCCCTACCTCAGCTCCATTACCCTGTGTGATCTCCTTGGGTGTGGGGTAAAACTTGTTCTCCAGCTGGCTGCTCTGCTTTCCATCATCAAACACCTTCACCTGGTGGGCACGAAACAGGGAGCCACCCACATCAACAGCAAGGAAGTCACCCTTCTCTGCAATACAAGTGGGCAACCGTCAGCAGTGGTGGCTGAGAAGGATGGCCCAGATGCCATGCTGAAAGCCACAGTCCAGGGCCCCTCCCTCACCATAGAATCATAGAATAGTTAGGGTTGGAAAGGACCTTAAGATCATCAAGTTCCAACCCCCCTGCCATGGGCAGGGACACCTCGCTCTAAAAATGGCCACAAGCTCTTTTGCCCCATCATGGCAGGCCCTTATCCTATAAGCCTGGCACCTCCACCAAGAAGGTTCAGAGCGGGCAAACCTTAGCAAGAGCATCAGGTCTCTCCTTCCAGCTTGCTATGTGGCAGTTAATTTCATTTCCAGCATGTTTCCAAGCTGCAGAGGGATAAGCTTCTCTGCAAAGGAGGCTCAAAGCAACTGCAAAGCCAATCAGAGCACAGAAGGGATACAAAACCGTACACCTGAAATGTGGGGAAATTAAAGTCTGGGAGCACCACCCACATCCAGCAAAGGATGCAGGATTTGAAGTCATGTTAAGGCTTGGCCTACTGCAGAAGCCAACTTCCAAGTGAGGCAAAACCAATCATTTCCAAACTTCTTTAGGTTTTTCTGTAAAAGTACCACTTTGTTTCTCTGTCAGCATCACTCTTCGCTCGAACGCCTTCTCTAGCAGAAGACTTCAGACAAAAGAACTTGTGGCCTCATGGATTCAGTAATAATAATAATTTAAAAAAATTATCTATTCCACACAGAGGAGAACACCCTTCCCAAAAGGGAAGTGCAGTGGTATGTGCATAGCCTTGTGTGATCTTTGTTCCACAGTTCAAACACCTGACTAAATTTTATCAACTCTGGCCCTGAAAGGGAAGGAAGCAGGAAATTCTACCTATAATTCCATGGTTAGATATCACAAAGGTGAGAAGGCCAACTGGGTTACTCAGTAAACTGTGACATTAGTCAGACCATTAATCCCTAAATGATTAAAAACTGGTGATCCATACAGGTCACTTCAGGTAGCTTCACTGAGGACACTGAAATATCTGAAAGTTTGTTGCTATTGCAAATGGGAAAATCCAGCCAAGTTTGAGGTGTTTAAACCTGCTAGAAGTTTTGTCAGAAAACAAAACCTATCAGGATTTTGCAAAAGAGTAAAAATAAAAAAAAATCAATGTGATACTTAAAATAGGTAGTATGTCAATAAGACATAACCCAGCTTGACTCTACAGCACTGACAAAGCAGAAAGGTCACACAGGCCAGGAGAGCATTGCCCAAAGTTGACCTTGAGGAACATGAAGTCTTGCAACATGATGATACTAAATGCAATTTTCCAAGTCTCCTAACCTCAGAGGATCCCTACTATTTCAGGACAAGGTCAGTGCCATGTGAGACCTCAAGGCCCGTGATGGTTACTGAGATAGCAAGGGTTGACCTAAATATTTCTTTTTCTTTGATGAAGGTAGCAGGAAAATGAAGTGTTCAGTTCCAGCCAGGCACTTTGAGGGGACTGTATATAATTTCACTCAGATATTCTTCATTTCAAGGGACTATCCTCCAAATCATAGAACAGTTTAGGTTAGAACAGACCAATGAAGATCATCTAGTCCCAATTCCCCTGCCATGGGCAGGAACACCTTCCACTAGACCAAGTTGCTCAAAGCCCTATCCTGGCCTTGAACACTTCCAGGGATGGGGCAGCCACAGCTTCTCTGGGCAATCTCCAACACTTTGCAGTGTCTAACCACCTTCAGAATAAAGAACTTCTTCCTAATATCTCATCTAAATCTACCCTTTCTCAGTTTTAAGCCATTCCCCCTTGTTTTACCACTACCTGCCCTTGTAAAAAGTCGTTCCTTCTTTTCTTGTAGCCCCCCTTTAAGTACTGGAAGCTGCTCTAAGGAGCCTTCTTTTCTCCAGGCTGAATAAGCCCAACCATCTCAGCCTGCCTTCATAGGAGAGGTTCTTCAACCCTCTTATCTTTGTGGCCTTCCTCTGGATTCACTCCAACAGGTCAACGTCCTACATTCCCTGTATGCCATTAAAAGTGTTACTTCTCATTTAACTGTAGGAAATTCACCTTCAGAAGGAATGAAGTCCTGTAGAAATGAGGTACAAAGCAAATATTTCTCTTAAGGTTTCTGCACAGCTGTTACACACAGAGTCCTAACCTAGGCCAGACAGAGACTCCTGCACAGACTCACTTGATTAAACCTGGTAAAAAACATAATCTTCTGTCAGACTGCAATGCCAGGAGCAAACTGAGCCAGATTATTTTGGATGTGCGTATTTCTTCAGACAAGACAGGCTACTTCAGACAAGACAAGATACTGCCTCACCTTGTGTTCTCCTAGAGGACACCACTGCACTTTATCCCTCTGTTTAAGTCTCAGGAGCAACTGATCTAACTGTACAAGCAGAGCAGGCTGTTTCCTGGTAGACTCCACCCAGAAGCAAATTTTCCCAATGCAGAAGGCAAGGAAGTGCAGGAAGGGATTACTTTTTAGGACAACAAAGCAGTGCAGAGTTTGCTATCAGAAGGCAAGAAGGGATCAGAGCTCTGAAAACACAACGTTGCTGCCACTTTGCAATTTGAGAGGTTTCACTGCAGCATCCTGCCTTCCTTACGGGTCCATGAAGGCCCAGGCAGTAATACTGCCACATCCCCACCTGCAGCACACTGCACTGCAGGGTCTGAGCTGTAGAGGCTGCCCTTGCTCTGTCCAGCCACATCTCTTGCAGCAAGGCCTGCACTGGGTACATCTGCATTTTATGGAAGAAAGAGGCTGTTTTCTGAGCACTTACTAGGTCCTTTCCTCAAGCAAGCTGCAGTAGGACAAAAAACATCTGGTAGAGGGAAAATATGCTCTGCCAGCACTCCCCTATGCTGCTGTCTCCTCAATATACACCTTTCTCAACATGAGATAGGCAGTAACTCAAAGCCACTGACTGCCCCATGCCTTTGCAGTGCGCTGTCCTTGAGTACTGGCAGCAACCCACTGTCTTTCTAAATCAGCACTGCTGTGATGGCGCAAGGCGAACTCACCTGAGCCATCTGGAAGTGAGCGCACAAATGATGGCAGCATTTTTACTGTTGCTGTAGGGTTCGTGTCTCTCCCCAGGCCCTTCACCATCTCAGCCTGGAAGCGAGACATCACGTCCAGCAAGATATCATCAGAGAGACGCATGTGATACAGGTACCTGTCAACCTGGAAAGATGAAAGGTGTTACTTGCATGCAGGTTCCTCAGTGCTCAGCAGCATGCTGGGATGAGTATTGCTTTCATGCTACAGTGAACTATGTATACTGGGGAGTCTATCTTTGCAAGCAGAGAAAATGCAGGAACTTCATGGCTACTTGCACTAGTTTTCTAACCATGAGGGGTACAGTTTGGCATGAAGGATCTGAAAATCCGGAACTCCAGTTCTAGCAGCACTCCTTATTGTGTTGGACAAGAATTACTATGCTCATTCCCACCCACTTGATGAACATGAGGCTAAACAGATACTAAGGACACAAAATAATTCCTTACACGTATATAACAAATAGAAGGTGAGCATATAACCTATGCAAACCCCACCTCTCTGATTCTAGAAGTTCATTTTGTTTTGACCTCAGCACCTAAATTCCCACGATTGCCAGTGCAAGCAAGCTCCAGAACATCACTGGAACATTTACTCTTATAAAAACTTTGTCTTGAAAATGTTTAATGGAGCCTTGGTGAATTACTATTAAAATGTTGGCTATCTTTTAAATGGCTCAATAACTTGCCAACATACATATCCCATGAGACTTACTTAAGACTCTGACAAGCTATTTTTACACTATCCTCTCCTATAATGAACAAACTGCAAAGTATCTCAACCTGGTGAAAATTTGACGTCTCTGAGTCAAGTCCAGAAAACGTCATCAGTATCCAAGCGTGTCAGCCACAACCTGAAAACATCTCTTCAGCTACTGCTTCACTCAACAGACGATTTACTTGTTAGCACGCCAGGCTGGAGCTCAAAGCCTCTTCTCACTCCAGCTCTGTCCTCCATTCTCTTGTGATTCTAGGGTTATTTCTAAAACACATTTTTGGGTGCTGTAAATATCCTTTCTTAAGAGTCTGCAACTCACAGCATACATCAAAATGAAAGACAGCTGAATTTAAAGGAAATCAAAGCATCTATGAAACAACAGTCCTTCAGATAAACTGGTAGAGAACCTAATCAGTTTCTCTACAGCTTCATCAGGGCAAAACTTGATGTTTTCTTCTTCAAGACATCACACTGCTTGGACTGACATTTACCTGCAGGGCTGGAAGCACGTTTGTAAAGCAGCCTAGAAACTACATAGCTGGTACAAAAAAGGATTAACGCAGCAAAATAAGAATCTGTCAACATCTAAATGCTCTGCTGAGCGGGACTTTGGTGCTGTATGAACAAACATGATGCAGGCATAATAATTCTGTGCTCCAAACGGCTGGACGTCCTCTGGAGGGTAATCTGTGTTAACATCCTGCCTCCCATGACATGAGACTCAGGGCTAGAGGCAGGGGAGAGAGGTGGACAATTCCCAATGCTTCACTAATATACACACTCAGCTCTTGCAGCATGGGCTACATTCTTACACAACCTGTTCAGAGCACTGTATCAGTACGATTTGCATAAGGAGGTCTAGAAGGTTAAACAGAGGAAGAGAACAAGCAGCTAGTAGCTGAATTGTTCTCTTCTGCAATTCAGATTGGCCACCTATATTAACGAGGCACAAACAAATTACCTATTCATAATCCCATTTTAAACTGATGGCTAGCAATGACCCACCTGAAAGAGGCAGGACCCTGAAAGTAACTCTCCAGCACTTATCTAGCAGCAAAACATACACACACAGAGGAGAAAGTCTTAAACTACAGGATGCAGTTGGCAAGGAGCAGCAGCTGCCTTTGGATACCCACTGTGCCTTGAAAAGACCATTATTTAGACCTTTTTTTGTAGCTCTTGTTTGCAGAAGCACTTGATTTCCTCCAAGACTCTTTTGAGGCCCCATCACTGTGTATGATCCACCAGCCCAGCCCAAGCACCAGCTCTGCTTTTTGGAGCATACCAAAAGAAAAAAAAAAAGAATTTAAAAAGGAAATCAAGAAGGAAAGAAAGCAGGAAATTACAATGACTGGAGACAACAGCACTCACACACTTTCACACAGACCCAAATAAAAGTCCATGTGGAAAAATCCCCAAACAAACAACTAAACAGTAGTAAAAATAACCATGTCTGTTTGCAAAGAACATGCACTAGCTCTCTGCTTGCCACAGCAACTGCATTCCCCATGCTGTTTGTCTGCAACCACAGGAGGAGACAGTTCTGTCAGAGGAACTAGATAAGGCAGAGCTCAGGAAAGCCTGCTGATTCTCTAGCCTGATTTACAACCAGAGCAAGGGCTGCTCACATACCATTTGCTTGTAAAAACATGAATGGCCAGGCTGTGCAACACCAAACTATCCTGCTGCCTCCCGCCTACTGCACAAGGACAGTAGGTCCTTGTTTTTAAGTGTCTTGCCTCAGTTAGGGAAACATCACTGTTTTTACCACGGGGAAGGCCTTGTTCTTGCCACCAGGTAGCAAATAAGCCTGGGAAGGGAGAAGTGAGAAGGCATTCCTTCTTTCTAATAGGGAGAAATCAACTCAGGTCCATACAGCCTACCCTGGGTTTCTTAAAAGATAACTCTACAAAGCATGTGGTTTTTCACCTCGAGGCTGGGCTAGTTTGTACCTAGCAAAAGGATTTAACTTTTTTAATGGCTTTGCCAGAATCCCTCTGCCCTTCCTCTCCACGCTCCTCACTTCAGGGAAGTCTTCCCTCAACTACACTCTGGATGTTTCTCTGAAGAGCCCGCTCCACTCAAGCACTGCTCCACAAGGTCTCTCCCTTAGTAAAAAAATAAGAAGAAATAGTGCTGTCTAGATGAGAGATCTCAGATCAGATCATCACACAAGAAAAAGGCACTGGGCCCCCTTCTGTTGGTAAAATAATGGGAATAAAATAGGAAATAAATGGGAATAAAAGGGCTATGACTGAGATGGAGTCAGAGACATCTGACTGTTGAGATACCAAAACCTCTCTTGGAATGCTTCTCTTCAAGACAGAATCAGTGGAAGAAGCCCTCCCTAAGAACAAGCAACTCCGTGTTTAAGCAAGGGCACAGAGAAGACAATCCAGTGTTGCTTGATTTGCTGATGAGATGAGCAGTGCAGGCAGACCTCCCCACCAAGACCTTGGATCTCTCACCATGAGTCTGCAGGCAGCCCTGCCTCCAGCTGGCTGGAAAACAAGAGACTGGAGCTTGGCAGCAATGGCCAACAGAAAGCACTCCAGTGGAGATGTCAGGAGAACAGAGGACTGCAGCAGACATGTCTAGAAACCAGGCAACCTCTGACCCAAGAAGCTTACAGGTCCCATGTGGTCTTATGATGGAGAGCCAGAAAACACTTTACAGCATGGCCATTAGAGTAGATTAGGGAAGAGCAACCATTAGGCAGCTTGCTCAATCCCAGTGCTGATGACTTCAGATATGGGCCATCTTGAGCTTTTCCAACTGTAATCTAAGATCACATCTACAAACATTAGAATGACAGCCAGGTTTGAACCAGAGGAGACACATGCACTTCTCCCACACCAAAATTAGTTAGAACTGCCTCCTGAGATCCAAAAAACCTGGCCCAAAAACCCCAGGAGTTTTCCCTGCTATGATGTGAGTAACACTGATTCCTACTCAGCTTTAGAAATCCCACCCTTCACACTACACATACAAACCAATTCAGCAAGAGGTTCCTTTCTGCCCTCTGGGTTACACCACAACATGCCAAATAAAGTTTAAGCACCACTTTTCCTTTCTGGAGATCATTTGCTGAATCACTGAAAGAGAACTTGTAACTGCAGGGGAAAGCACTAACCAGACCTATTTTCACACCTGTCAGACGGTTTAGGGTCAAAATGCTTTCTGCCCCATTTGGCTGTATGGCGCTAACAGATAACACCATTCTTTAGCCTGCATGACATACTGCAGACCCCACATTATCTGAGTAAGAGTTTTCAAAACAGGAATTACATAATGCTGCATCTTACCTTTTTTATTTGATCCTCTTTTAGCTTTGTGAAATGGAAAGCTAGCAAGTGGACAGCAAACATTTTCTTGAAGCAGATGGATGACTCAGTAGTCACAGAGCTGCTGTGATTAACTCCAAAGAGACAGGTCTTTACTCACGAAGCTGGAGCTAGAGAAACTTCAGCTGAGGCATTTCCCCCAGGGTGGGATAGTGGAGTTCCTGGGAAATTGAGTCCAGAAATAAATCCATCCACTGTGATCAGTTCAATGATTAACCTCCTGTCTCTTTGTATCACCCCCCCCACATCAACCCAAAGCCCCTCCCTCCCCAGCTACACACTTCATTGTGCCAGAGCAGGCACCTGGAGAGCTGCCAAGCTGAAGAGGAGAAAAATCGATTTTGTTACTGCCCTACTTGCGAATTGTTACCACTTCACAACATAGTTGCTACGCAGCCTGCCCTGCTTCACCCAGCTTCATTCCTGGGGGGCTGACAAGCTCCCACCAGCACAGCCTGCAACAAAGCGCTGCAGGGAATCTGGAGAGTTAGAGAGGATTTTAGGTTTCTTCTCTCTGCTCAGTGCTCCCACTTGCAAGACAAGCTCTTCTGCATGAATTAACTCCACTCTAGTTCTACACAGCACACCCTTATCTCCGGCTTTTTTCCAATTAAGCTTCAGCCGTGTAAAGGGAGTAGAGACACGCAGACCTCTGCCCCCAGCTGAAATACCTCTTGCGCAATTTCCAGCAAGAGAGGTTTGTACAGCTTATTCTCCCTTCATCCCTCCTGAAGACAAAGTTTCAGACCAATCCAGATACTCAAGTATGGCAAAACGTGGGGAGGGGACAGATTTACCTGGCAGCCAGCAGTGTTGAAATCAGATGGCCTCACTTGATAAATGCCTTTAATGGGCAGCACAGAACGCTTAACAAGAGCAGTTTTCTCAACACCACCAGAGCTGAACCTGACACAGCCTCTAACTATTACTCCCCCAAGTTAATTCTGAATCTGCAAGTGTTTAAGGATTTTGTCATCATATCAAGTGATACTGACTATGGAAACATCATCCAAAAGAAACTGAAATGTTGACACAAAGGAGAGAAACAAACAAGGAAAAAACAACAAAACAACAACAAAAAAGAGGGCATACAGTGTGTTTCCCTCCTAATTACTGTTTAATATTACAGCTGCAACTGAGCACACTTACTGCACTGACAGACAATTGCCACCCAAAAGTTTGCAGAACAAGACTGCAATCAAAAAATGTTTGTGTATAAATTAGAAAAACAAACAGCCTCGGGACAGTAGAGGGCGACGGAAAAGGCAGGGTAAGTACTGGGAGGAAACACAAAGAACTACAGAGCAGAATTAGAAAATCACCTACACAGGTCCAGAGCAGGGCAGAAGCAAGACAGTTAGCAGAAAAGGATCTCAGGTTATATCAATTCACAGCCTGCAATGGACCAAACAATCTCATGCTATTGTAAAAGAAGTGCACTTGCTCATCATGCTGGGCTGTATGATTAGGAATATAATTCACAGACACACAAAGCAACACTCAACTCGGTACTTAGCACCAGCCTCAAGAAGAGGACTCTGCCCAGTCCTGGCAGCTACAGTATGTTAAGAAGGCACGGATCAGGAGATAGCTCTGCTGAAAAGCAGGAGTCACAGGGTTTTTTCAGCCTCCGATCACAAAAGACTGAAAGAGCTGAGGGAGGGGAAGGGAACTACCTTTGCAGTCAAATTATACAGAACCTCTACTAGGAAAGCCTGAGTTGTTCTGTCTTGCATCAGGAATGAGCTCTGGACATTTGGAAATATCCTCAGCTCTCTTTATTTTCCACTGTTCTATAACATAAATAAAGCAGAGTGGCTAAACAGTCCATAAATAGGACTTGCGCTAAAATTAGGCCTTTGATCTTTAAGAGAAAGGGAGAATGAAAGAAGAAAAAAAAGCCATGCTACCAGCCAGAACGCACGGTTCACTTCTCCTGTATTCATCTTTTAATAACTGCTGGCTCGTTAAGTCAGACACTGACTCCCAGAGGGACTGTCTCTTTCCTCATTGTTTACCCATGCTATCCGAGTCACAACCCCTCTGGCCAGCAAAATTGAAAACATCACCTTTCAAGCTCCATCCCACTTTGATCCAGAGCTCATTGTGTCTGTAATACAGTAGATTTATTTTTCATTCTCTCTTTTCTTTCTTTCTCTAATGGATGCCACTGGAAAAGGGTCTCAAAGATCTAAATGTTCCTAAACTGGCAGCAAGCTCTGTTAAATACCTGACATGTCAGAATCACTGCGTAGCTGTTTGGCTCATCCCTGGTACATCCTAGCTTCAGGCAGGCTGTTGTGCAAGAAAAGACAAGACATTATCTCATTTCCACATAGACAGTGGTCCAGTGCTCTAAGGGCCCAATACCCAAATACGCTACAGCCATTTCATGTATTCTGACCAGTACAGGGGAAACAATCCAGGACCAAGTGAACAGATCAACTCCAATTGCATGCAGCTTGGAGATTTGAGGCAATGTTGTTTTTTTCCCTTTGGTAGAGCTGCATCCAGTAAAAGTTAGTCACAACCCCCTCCCCCTTCAGCAAGGCCAATAAGACTTCAAAGTTATAGTAACACTCTCCCTACTTTCTTGTCCTGCAGTTCTCACTCCAAACTATATCTCATGGAGAATTGTGAAGAGGCTGGTGCTCACGTGCCTCTATAACAGCCTTGCAGTCAAAGGTCTGCAACGAAAGGAGCTCACAGCTACAATGGGTAATTCAGATAAACGCCTGAGTGTATCAGCTAAACATGCACAAGATTCCTTTAGAAAAAGGTACCATATTAATAAGCATTTTACTGCATTTATCTTTGGTGAGGTATCAGAGGCAGTTGCAACCCTGGGTGCTGGGTCTGGCACCCACATTTACAAGGAGAGAGTAGACAGACAAGGCTACAGATGAATAATTAAGAGAAATCTGTCTGTATTATAGCTTGTATTTCCAAGACCAACAAATCTGTTGTCTTGGAATAAGAATCAATGAACCCATCCCAATAGCAGTAGCTTTTTTCCCCATTATATTCCCACAAATTCATCAAAACTGAGAACAGAAGGGGGTCCCCACATTTGCCCTGCATCTGTCTCTCCTTGGGCAACATCAGGCTGCAAAAGAAGGCAGAAGACCTGAGGGAACTGACTGGAAAATTCACTCCAAGGACAGACACTATTTAGAAGAGATGGAGACAGTACAGACAGAAAACATTGGCTTAAGAGAAATAAGGCTTTCACCAAGTAGTGCTGTTACAATCAGCATTTTACATATGATGCATAAATAAACACACAGAAAATGTAATTGTGAAGCCAATAAACTTCTAAACATCTGTAACCTGAATGCTTGAAATTAATCTTGAATCTGAACACCTGAAATAAACAGTTTTGCAAATGTGATTCCCAAATCAAGTGAACACTGTTGCTGATGTTTAGGAAGAAAAGCTTTTGGCACAGCCCCATGAAGAAGAGCAAGAGGTCACTCAGTCCTCCCCCAGGGGCTTGCTTGCACAGGGCATGTTAAAAATGTGCAGCTGGCATAGCTTTGCACCGCACCAGTCCAGATTGCACCATATGGGACCAATTTGGCAGTCATTCTAATGGGAGTCAATGACAGCCACACCATTAGCTCAGAAGAAAACTCATAAAAAGTCAGCCTGTGAACGCCTGAATAAACTTCAGAGCTCTTAAAACAGTTACTATGGAGTCACTATGGAAACAAGCAATGAGTTAAGCCAAGTGCTAATCTCAGCAAAATACTAAAAAAAAAAAAACCAGTTATAGTCATTTAGCTTTGTAATTGCAAGGCTTGCTGCTGAAACTCAAGGCTGGCTTATACCCCAAAGTCCCAGCCACTCTTTCCTTGCCCAAAAATATACACTAGGATGCAACTTAGCATACAATTAAAGGACGAATTTATCAAAACAGACTAGAAGCAAAGTACAGTAGCAATGTAGGCCTCCTGCAACCCAACCCCACATGCACTGCGGGAGAGAAAATAGAGGAGTTGTACTTGTACAACTGTGGTTTTGAATAGTGGTTTTGCAGATTCAGCAAGGAGTTTACAGTCCAAGAGGTAAGTTGGCAAACACATGCCTTTAAAACCAGTCTGCAGGCTTGAGCGACTACAATTTCCCATTGAGACTGTCAAGTGCGAAGGACACAAGGAAGCAATTGATACCACTGAATCACGTAATCCACATCGCACAAGCTATTTGAACAGTATCAAATGGAATGTATTTGTAAGGGTTAATTGTAAGCTCACATTCTGAGTAAGCCACGTTGCTCTTAAGCAGAGACTGTCAGGACCCTGAGAAAGCAAAGCAGAATTACCTGTCCACAAAGTGGGAAATTCATGATACTCACATGGCCACTGCCATGCACACATAGCTGCTTGGTCTTTCTTTGGGGAGGAAAGAAAGCTGGGGCTTTGCAGGGGAAAGACCTAAAACTTTCCCTCCACACCAGTGCAGTACTAAAATCAGCAAGAGATCATGTGGACTAGAAACGTTTAAGCACTGTCTGCTTTTAATGGGGATACAGTTCATGAAATACACTGAAATCAGCTGTTAAAGCATTATTCAAACTGCTGCAGACTTGTTTCCAAACAGCAGCTTAAAGGATTGATACTAGGAGGAAGCAAAGGGCATTCAGAGCAAACTTTCAACCTGCAAAAATATGTGTCTGATCATTTTAGAATGTCAGGTGTTCGATACAATGAAATTTAACCTGGCTTTTACAAGCATCCCAGCATTAAGACAAGCAGGATCTGCAGACTTGGATATAGCCAACCCCAGAAATACAGTTGCTGCCGCATTATTCTCAGGCAGCCCAAGCAACACATCCTAATGCTGAAACCCACTTCTGATTCTTTCCATTCCCCGATATCCCTACCAAGGGCTCAAAAGCATACCTTAAAGCAGCTCACACTTTGAAAACAAACGACAGAGCATCTGCACATGTATGAAAGAGCCATAGCCTGGTGCTGCATCACCAAAACAAAAAAAAAGTCCTTTTCCCAAAAATCTAGTTCCAGGAAATTAAACCTTTCTCCAGGCAGGAAGCACCTAACTTTCCCACTTTATGATAGCCATGATAAACTAGGTATGTGGAAATACTACTGGCACAAATACCAACTCACAAGTTGTTACTTAAACTATAAGCTATTGTGTGAACTTCCATAATATATTATATATGCATCCTCTCAAAATTCAGGTATCACAAACTGGCATGTGAAGCAA